GGCGGGGGGGAAAAAAAAAAAGACAGCCTGGGGGGGTTCTCTGGGCTGCACCGCTGCTCTCAGGTGCGCGTCGATGCCGACATCAAGCCGTACGTCGCGTGAGCGGTTAAACCTTTTGCACAAGAGGACAGCCGTGGTGTTAGGGCAGGGACGGAGGGACCGTGGGGGCAGGAGGAGGGAAGCTGCTGGCTTCAGCGAGCAGAGCACGGCCGGGGCAGCTTGGGCACCCTGCCGTCGCCTTTGGGCTGGGTCCGGGGTGAGGGTCGTGGGGTTTGGGGTGCTGCAGCGGCGCGAGCTCAGCTTTGAGCTCCTGCAGCGCGGGGCCCTGGGGGGCACCCCCATGACAACACCTCTGTGTGCATGAGCGCTGCTTTTACACCGTGAGCCCAGGACGGAGCCTGCTGGAGAGTTTTCTTGGCTCTACACCTTAGACCAGTCATTTACCAGCTATTACACATCCGTGAGGGGGGCAGTGCTTACCACAGCAAGTAAGGGCTCAGTTTTGCAGCGAGTTTGCAAGACCTCAGGGCCAGGGCTTGCCAGGCTCCCTCTCCCTGACCTGGTCTTGGCCTGCCTGCAGCTTTGTTTTACCTCATTTACCTCCAACAGCCATTTTTCTAAGTGACCAGGTGCCTGTGACTAGTTTTACTTTTGTTTATCTTAGCATAGGACGACCAGAGTTTTATATAGATAGCAGTAACAAGCAGTTATTCTATATAAAATATTTACGACGATACATGACGACTCTGTGTGCATGAGCGCTGCTTTTACACCGTGAGCCCAGGACGGAGCCTGCTGGAGAGTTTTCTTGGCTCTACACCTTAGACCAGTCATTTACCAGCTATTACACATCCGTGAGGGGGGCAGTGCTTACCACAGCAAGTAAGGGCTCAGTTTTGCAGCGAGTTTGCAAGACCTCAGGGCCAGGGCTTGCCAGGCTCCCTCTCCCTGACCTGGTCTTGGCCTGCCTGCAGCTTTGTTTTACCTCATTTACCTCCAACAGCCATTTTTCTAAGTGACCAGGTGCCTGTGACTAGTTTTACTTTTGTTTATCTTAGCATAGGACGACCAGAGTTTTATATAGATAGCAGTAACAAGCAGTTATTCTATATAAAATATTTACGACGATGACATGACGACGTAGTATAGAGGAAACACCGGCTTGAGATGACAGCGGCAGCCTTGAGAAGTGACGATGCGGGACGTGGCGCGGTGTACAGGCATGAAGGGGTAAGAGACGGGGCTGACGCTTGGCACCGGAGCCCCCGCGGCCGTAAACAGCTCGGCCAGCCCCGGTGGCTCAGCCCAACATAAAGTATAAAAAACATCAAAACAACGAATAAAAGAACTTGGCAGAGAGCAGCGGGCTTGAGCTCGTGTCACCCCACGCGTCCCTTCCCGGCGTGACGATGAGCATAGCCTAGAGCCCGGCAAGGAGCTTCACGTTCAGATTGCGCTTCAACCGTGCGCTGCGATTGCTATACGCTGCTTAATACTGCGACTTAAGTGCACTGCCGTGTCACCGGGCCGTGGCAAGCTCCCGGGCCACTTCAAATAAGTAAAACTTGTATTAAACATTAATAAACATCAATGAACATTCCACATGTGGAATACCTAAAAGAACCTGTTCAGAGAGCGTTGGGCTCTCCGCTGCGGCCGCGGGCTCTACTGCGAGAAGATGCCTTTGAAGCGGATCTTGTCCTCGGCGTCCTTCTCGCGCAGGCGGGCTTCCAGGCTCCGCAGCTCCTTGGAGACGATGGGGCGCAGCGAGGGGTCGAGGGCCAGCACTTTGGCAAAGTCAGCCTGCGCCTCCGCCACGTTCCACACTGCCGCGTGGGCCTTCCCCCGCTTGAAGTAGGCCTTGACGTTGTCTGCGGGGAGAGAGCTGCTGGGCCGGCGGAGTGCGGAGAGGGGGGCCGCCCCGGTACCTGCTCGCCCCGTCGGCACCCACCGTAGCCGGCCGGGCTGGGCCGGCCCGCGGCTCCTTACCCTCGTACTTGTTGAGAATGGAGGAGCAGTGATCCAGCACCTCGTAGTACTCCTCGCACTGCAGCTTGCACTGGCAGTAATTTAGCAGCAGGGGTGTGATCTTCTGGTCGAGTTCGATCCAGTCCGGAGAGCCGGGCTGCTCCTGCAGGATGAGACAGAGCGGGGAGAGTGAGGGGAAGCTCCCGAGCCCTGCGCTCCGGGAGGGAGGCGGGGAGGCCTGCGCGCACCCCAGAGAAGGGCCGGGGAGCCCCACCTTCATCTGCAGGTTCTTGAGGCAGGCGATGGCATCGTAGTATTTGGCAGCTGCCTCCTGCACCTTGCCAAGCCGGTACAGCTCGTTGCCCTCCTTGTGGATCAGGGGTACGGCCTGCAGCTTCTCCTCGTCCGTCATGGCCCACGGGTCCTGCTGGTATGAGCCGGGCGCCTCCACCTGCCGGCACCCCGTCATGAGGACAGAGCCCCAGCGCCCTCCTGCCCGCAGCCTCCACCTGGGCTGGGGGGC